ATGGTTTTCCAGGTGATGACCCTCATAAGCATCTAAAGGAATTCCATGTCGTCTGTTCAAGCATGAAACCCCACGGTATGACCGAGAATCAGGTAAAACTCATAGCCTTTCCATTTACTTTACGTGATAAAGCAAAGGATTGGTTGTATATTCTTCCTCCCGGTTCAATACACACATGGGATGAGATGAACAGGGTATTTTTAGATAAATATTTCCCTGCATCCCGGGCTACAAATATACGGAAAGAAATATGTGGAGTTCGGCAATTTGGTGGTGAGACGCTATATGAATATTGGGAAAGATTTAAACAACTTGTTGCTAGTTGTCCACACCACCAAATACCTGAACAATTGTTAATCCAATACTTCTATGAAGGGTTGCAACCCATGGATAGAAGTATGGTTGATGCAACCAGTGAAGATGACACAGTGATGATGGAGCTGAACCAACAATGTTTGTCCCACGAACCAGGTTCTTCTGAAGAACTCGATGGAAGACTGAGAGCACCACACGAACAATCAAGAACCTTTATTGATCTTCTCTAACTAAGAACTCGAGCTGGCAGAAAAGGTGAAGGCGGCTGCTGGAGGAGAATGCTAGAGAAGAAGGTGGCGAACTACTATTTTCTTCTCTAGGGTTATCTGAGATCCTATCTAAAGAATGCATAGTGTGTTCTCCTAAAACCCCTAGGGTTCAAATTCAAGTAATTCGAAATTAGGGTTTCCTCCTCTTTCTTGGTGATTAAGAAACTTCCTAATCATATTAGGAGTAGCCCTTATGCAAATATGTATTTGGATTAGGACTCCTCTTAATCCTATCTGCATATTAGATCAGCTTTTGGGCTTAACCTAATCTCAGATCCGCCCCTTTAAGTGACTGATCAAATCAGCCCAGATCGAAATGGGCTTTAAGCCCAATATGTATTAAGTGCTCAATAGTCTTCCAAACTGTTGCCTAGTTGGGCTTCTTTATATGGCGTGGGACCCAAGCATTGATCTACACATCAACCACATGTGTTCGGCCCAGCCTCTGTTACAAGGCCTAGCCGAATTCACTAGAAAGCCCGGTGAACCCCCTGAGCCCATCACATGGACCCTATGGGCCCAACACTTACACTAAGTGGTCCCTGGGCCAAGCCATCTTATAAAAACCCAGGGACTGTGGGCAGATGCAAGATTAGCCCATCAGGAATTATCCTAAATGGCCTTA